CAAACTTTTAAATACAAATTAGTTAACAACTTCGTAGATATATAAATAAAAAATTACTATTCTAAAAGCCACCATAAATAATAAATGAAGAAAATATTATAAAAAAAAAGATGAGTCTGTCGCTTATAAAAGAATTTTTCTGTGTCTCGCTGTCTTATTGTCTCACAAAGAGAACCTCAGATTCTTTTCACAGGTCTATATAATTTTAAACTACTCGGTTTAACTATCAACTCTATCACCCTGCAAAGTTTCATCAAAATCCCAGAAGACTAAACCTGAGGTTCTCGTTGCCAGACTATCTTCAGCCAACTTGAAATATCTTATATATCATAATGTCAGAAATAATATAGTCAAATTGTCTCATGCTGTGTGATATTGTTTTAAAATACTGTTCCAATATGCTTTACATCATAACAAAATGTCTCAAATTATCATTATGCAGTCTCGAAAATATCATACAGTCTCTAAATTTATCACGATCTCTTTTTCCAGGATTTTAGTCCTAATTGTTATCGAATGTATGCCTATTGTTCTTTATCACTCATGAACAGACACCCATTGTCAATCTGAAACTCATACTGAGTCACATTAAATTTCCCTTTGTATTAAGTTGCACACAATATATCTTATTCCATCTATTTCCTCTAATATATGTATATATATAAATATATATATATATATATATATATATATATATATATATATATATATATATATATAATACATATATATATATATACATATGATAAAATGTTTTCAGGTATTCATGCAATAAGAAAATTTTTAATGGAGAAAAATGACTTGAAACGATTCCAGTCTGGGTTTTACTCATCTTTAGTGCATACTAATAATTTAAAACTAATATATATATATATATATATATATATATATATATTTGATACAGTAATAGTTATTATGTTTATTATAAAATAAAGTGATATAAAAAGACTTGTAAAAGCATAATCGTGAAAACATAATCGATCAGTGTATGAATTACAAGTGAACTGTAGTTTAAATAAAGTCATTTTTCTTCATGAAAAATTTTTATATTATTTTATCAATGTCTGGAAACATTAGGACTTAAAGAATAAATAAGAAAAAAATTTAAAAAGAATTCTATGTGACCAAATGTACTAGTTTAAAAAGCCAATAATAATAATGATAAAAATGTTACAAAATGAAAACCAATTGTTTTTATAATATGAATTGTAACTATAAAGTTCATATGTTAACGAAGCAGAATTAATTTGTATTTTGAAAAGTTCGTAATGGTCTTTATTGAATAAATAAAACGTATTTAAATAATTGTGTGTTTTGCGAGTTAGTTTGCCATAGAAAAACGATTATAATTCTTTGCAAAAATGTAGATGACATCATTAATAAATTTGAAATATTTTTCAATATAATTAAATATTAAATAAATTAAATATATCGAATTTGGTTACAATAATTTCCTAATAGGAATAAATAGAGACAATAACAAATGGTATGAATAATTCCTTACAAGCTATTGTCATTAATGTTTCTACTAAAATACTTAACAGAAATGACGACAATATATTGAAAATTGCATATTACCAAAGGTGTATTGGGCACATTTTGTATATAATTCTTAAGTACTTAACTGTAATATATTTTTAGATACAATATATTATTATATAATAAGGGGCACACATCATGATATGTTTAAAAGTTAATGTTGTCATATGCATATTTTTTTATTAATATATGTTAATTTTTTTTATCTATCATCTAAAGCAAAGAAGGCATGTAGTGATAGTCTGATATCGAATTTTCATTCGAAACCAGACAAACCACCATCCATTTAATATAATTATAAAGAGTTTCAGAGACCCTCCTGTTACTTATTAGACTAAATCTTTACTAATTTACTTGTCTAATTCATATGATGATAACACTGTTACAATATACATACACATACGACAATGGGTCGGAATATTTTCATAATTACCTAATTTTCTTACTAGTTTTAATCAAGCTGATATGTTTTCAAGTAGTTCCCAAATTGCAAAATAAGAAAACTGATCAGAACGCGATCAAATCGTGGTCAGTTTTTTTATTTTATCCTTATTAGCAATAAATATAGTTTACTTATACACTTTAATATATGAATTACCAAGAATACGCTATACTGGCTAACTAATAATGAATTATTTAAATACATTCATTTTGGACGGAATGATTTTTCATCTAAAAGACTCTAATGATTCAATGCCTATATAGGTATTCACATTATTTTATCAAAATTCTCGCAATTATCTTCTCAGTGATAACGATGTTATTATAATATATAGAATTATGCATAATGATTGCATGATACATACGGTCCCTTTTTTAATTTCTTTTTAATTTAATTATAAACAATTCCAAAAAACGACTCAGTCACCTCAGCATTTACTACATACAGCTGATGTTGTCTGAAACCTTGAATTTTCCACGGAGTCATATCATTTGGAATTTATTTTAAATATAGATTGAGAGTCGGCTATTTAATATAAAGCATAATTTATATAACATGTCTTATATCACATTAATCACACGCAAATGTTTAAAATATAAAGTAAAATTAACGATTGTTAAAATGATCTTACGAGAGTCATAAGATTTAAATTACAGAACAACACTTAGCAACGATTCGAAAATAATATCACGGGCCGATTTATTTTTTAAAATTTTATGGCGGGCCGCACGTAATTTATGTATATACTAGCTGACCCGGCAATTCTAGAAATATTTCTAGAAAATTATTAGTATAAAAATATCTAACTAATTCTGAATGTATAAATATGTGGTATATAAATGAAAAGACAGCTAACACAAATTACATTGATAATTTACCAACTGCAACGCTAAAATACTAACATTCATTTTTGAATTATGTTATGCTTTGCGAATCGAGTGAGATTTCAATTTCCAGTTTTCTCTCAAAAATATAAAAATAATTTTTTTAATAAAATTGAAGATTTTCATTTTACTTAAAAATCTGACAAAATAGCCATTACATCCTTATTTGATAAAATATCTATAAAAATAATCAGTGTAATCATAAGTGTAGTTCAGAAATGCTTGGCGGGCCGGTTGCTCGTCCTCAATTTATATGCTCATTTTTAAAGCAATTTTTGTCTAAAATACATAATTTTTATTTAATAAAATAAAATATAGATGGATTTAATAAAATAAAATATAGAAAAATAAATAGAATAAATTTTCTCTATTTTCACGAGATATTTTCTTAAATTATTTTCGAAAACGTGGCTAGTGTTTGATCTGAATGATCATTTTAAAATCGAATCATCATTAATTGTTAAGATAAAAACTTGATGCATCGTTAATTGAAATTATCTAATAAAAATTCATTTGTATATTGCAAGCAGCAATAAAGAATTATTTACAAATTAGTACTAGTATATTTAATCACTAAGTTTAAACTCTATAATTGCTAATATATTCTAATTATATTACTTTTACAATTAATAAACTTTCTAAATATTTGCTATTCAATATTTCTTTGATTTTTTGTTTAATTTATTATATAATACTATATTTTCTGTCGAATCTGCAATATTATTTAGATTATCATCTAAAATGATGTATAAACATACAGCATGTAAATATTAATTTCCTTGAATCTTTGAAATAATTTACCTATAGAAATATATTCGAGATGCATAGGTTTCTGACATATAAGATTTGGAATGCCATATTTATCCTTACTTCTTATACATTATAAATGATTGCCCTTTTTTAAATAGCAAAATTAGTTTTTAAGTAGGAATATAATTTTCAGGTAAGTCCACATTCATATATGAAACAAATTTCAGGATTAAGGATATAAAAATATACATCTGAACGCAATAATTTCAATACGTCTTGATATGTTGGAACTCCAAAAGTTTTAGAAAAAGGATTTTATATCGACTAGATTGTGATAAAGAAATGAGAAAGTTAACCGAATATTGCATTTTTAAATCAAAATTACAAAAAATGATTCCTTCCATATCAGGATGCTAACCAACATTGTATTAAGCAAATACCGTTGTTTTCTATATAAACAATCTTTGGAAATAAAACATGATCAACTCGTTTTAACTCAAAGATATTTTACTCGTTAAAGGTGCATTAAAACATGGTGCAGTACCTTTTTGTAATTGACAATAAAATTTCAATAGTCGAACAACAATTCATGATTGTCATTTTTAGATATGTAGTTAATGTAGAAGTAACTTTGAATAAAAACAATTGATTTAAGGAATCCTGATACAGATAGAAGATTATTACGAGATACTAGAATGAGTTATATGAAAGAATGCTGCTTTGTCGCATCGGATTTGGTTCAAAAATGCAATATTGTAGCAGGATTTAATAAAAATCATAATATGAATTCGGGGTAATTTAAAAGATATGAAAGATTTTATCCGCGGTACGATATATTTTATCTAATAAATTAAACTATTGGAATTGACCTGATAGATCAAAAATGTTATATTGCTTTTCAAAGCAAAAACGGTGATATGCCAATGATAATATTTAAAATCACATTGATTACTTATAATATATATTTTTTTACATTAAAATATACTTTTAATTTGCTTTTAGTATTTAAATCACGTTGAAAGGATTGAAATCATATCCTTCCATTAATATTACCCGCGTTTTTCTGCAAGATGTTCGATAAAAGAAAATAACAGTGCACATATATGTATACAAACATACATATATAGGCAAACATATACAAATGTATTCTTATATACGCGCACATACCCATCCAGACTTGTTTGATATAAATGTGTATGAATACATATCCGCGTATATCCTGAGGTATACATAACGCGCATGTCAGCAATTTCAACCGCGTATACATGTATACATATGTATATTATAGATAATCAGATATAAAGCCAACAATATACATAATAATTTCCGTGACAGTAGTAATAATGTATTAAATTTATATATTAACTCTTCTTACTATAAAACATAACAGTAGGGCACCTTTGGTTTGACGCTTTTAACTACAAAAAATTCGTATATTTGAACGCTCAGGTTTTCGTATTGTTTGGAAATGGTGATAATAAGAACAATCGCAGAGAAGCAGCTACTTCACAAGAGGACAGAGAGAGCATATTGGTTCGCCTGGTTTTGGCGAGTGTTGACGTGCAGGGGCTGCTGCGACCTCAGCACGTGCCCGCGATTCTGTAGCTCCTCGACCGGCACCATCGGCTCAGCCGTGAACACTATCGCAGCGGCAGCGGCACCGCCAGCGTTAATTCCGTCCTCCGGCAGCTGAAGCAGTTTCTTGTCCCTGCAACGATGATGATCGTGTGGATGAGAAATGCAGTTGGCGCAACATCGCGGCCGGAGTTAGGGCGCGAATGTAACAAGCGTTCGGTGAATCTAGTTGTTTGTCCCGAGAAAATTTGGGACTAGATCGGGTCCGTTCAGGACTGTATACGGTTCGCTGCGGACTACCATAAACGGACGGTGTCATAGACTGCAAAGATATATCGTCACATCATCAAAACTGAAGAAAACCAAACACGTCAAAAAATAAAAAACAAAAACAAAATAAAACTCATGTACAAGGATGGCCATAATCAAGTGATATCAGCTGAATATATTTCAATAAATATATCTTCGTGTATATCTACAGTTAATTAAATTTAAAAAAATAGGATCAAGTTTATTCAGGTTGTAAAACCATTATTCAGGATGTTTAGAAACAATGATAAATTTATTAACTTTATATATCACTAATTGATCTGGTATACTCTATAGTGGAGCTAGGAGTTTATTGTAACCTAAAGTAGGCGTTTTTCAATAGGATGTTGAACTATATTAAAATATGTTTTTGTCTCAATTCGACATGTAAACCGGCCTGCATCATATTGTCATAGTTACTGTCCCGCAGATCGTCGCAACATACAAAACTGTGCAGGTCCGTCATTTTTGACATCTAATATAAAATTGTACTATCAAAGTTTTGTTTACTTTATTAATATTGACTAATTTTAAATATTACATATTTCAATTTACTTTAAATTTATTAATATTTGACCATTTATAACAATTTTTGTAGTTACTAAATTGTTTGAATATTATTATTATTTGATTAATATAAAAAAAAATCATATATGAGACTTAGTTCTAACAAAATTTTGAGGCTAGTAATTACATACAAGAATTATATTCAGGTCCAAGTAAAGATGATTGGGTGGGATGTATAGGTTGTAAAATATGGGCTCACGTAAATTGTGGTACAGAAGGCACTATATCTTTTATTTTTAATACTTGTACTTTACGTTGTTTATGCAAAGAATTTTTTAGCAACGTCAATTTTCTTAAAAATAAGTACAAAAATCATCAACGATATTATTGAGTATTTTGTCTATACTACTTGCACCGGCAGATGTTACACAACCCCAAATACGGGGTAAGTTATAACATTGCACTTTTTCCAACAAAATTAATTGTGAAATAATGAGCAATAGTTATGGAATTATTTTTACTGGATTCCGTAGAGGAATAGTTATAGCATCTATGCATCTTCATTTCGCAGAAATATGATTCGTGAATCTATAGATAAATAATTTGTAAAAAATTGTTACAATAAGTTCCTAGCTCTCCTAAACTAGCGGTTAAAAACTCTGTATGCCAGAGAAACTAAACACCTATTTCCGTCTTCAGTTCGTATAAAAATTAAAAAAAAAAAATGAATATAAAAATAACAGTAACAAAAATTAAATAACTGCAAGTTTTCAATGTATGATTGGGAAAAAATATTATAAATACATAGTTTCAAACATAGAAATAATAGTAAGATAATATAGGGATATAAGCTGTATTTGAAGGTTCGAGATCTTAAAAAAGTAACTGATAATAAGAGAACAAAAAAAAATATCGGCATCACCAATTTTTTTATCTAAACTATAACAAGCTATTATTTTTAAATCCGTCACCCATTAATTAATTATATTTTTAACTAATTAAAAATAACAACTACGCAGGTTTGGATTGATTAATATTATAACTACGCGTGGACTTTGCAATTAAATTCGATAGACTGTATTAACGTACTCATTACATAATAAATTAATTGTTGTTGTTTTCCATTTATCGAGATTTGCAATTCAAATGAGAATTGCATAGATAGGCAGATTGCTTAAGTATAAGACCTTGACGCATGGGCGTAGCCTGGATAATAATAAAGAATAAGATTTTTTTATTAAAATATTTGATATTAAAATTATATATAATAAAATTAAAAAAAAAACATTTCCAAAGTCCATTGGCTTTCTACATTCTAGTGCCTAATAGATTATATTTACTAAAAACCGTAGAGCCTATTTTTACATAGTGATACCAAATGAAATACACTAAATAAATATTTAAAACGCAACTAATGATCTTACTAACAATTAAAAGACTTTCGTAAGTATAAACGATAATCAATATGAGTTAAAATTTCTATTAAACGTCTTCCCTATTGTTGAAGACATAATTTAAAATAATAAATGAATAACTTATTCTAATAGCTTAGCCAACTCCTATTCAATTGAATGAATTAACTCAATTCCTTTGCCGATATCAATTATTTTGCCATCACTTGTATAAAAATAATCACAAAATATATTGAAGATCTATATTTTTATATGGATTTACTTTTATATAATTGTTTTTGCATAATCTATTTGATACGTTTGTCAATAAGTAATAACTTAATTAACGTAATGTTGACGTTAAGTCTTTACAGTCTGAAAGAAACCGTATTATATATATATATATATATATATATATACTTTTTTACTTATTTATTTATAATACGCAGTATTATGAAAAATATGATCGCGATCATCACTACGCTTCTTCCTCTAAACAAAATAAATATAATTAAAGACAATCATAAATTGAATTGAAAAAAGTAGTATACTATGAATTTCTCTAAAGAACCGAATGATGTTTTCAAATTAAAAAAAAAAAAACAAGACAAACCCAATATAACTATTTGTAAGAAATTTGTTAGTAAGCAGAGAAATATCATATATTCATAATTTTCACGATTCCATTCATTTTTCCGATTTGAAAATTATATGTTATTATGTGTTTAAAATATCATTATATACAATTTATGCAATCTAATATACAAAAGGATTTAATGTCAATTTGATGTGTGTCTTCACATGCAATTTGTTGGAAGTGTGCAGGTTGGAGAATGTGAAGTGTGAAGTGTTACAAGCAAATGGTCTTATTCATAAATTTATTGGTTAGTTAGATGCTTTGATTAATTTATCTACTTCTACGTTTTCTGGAACAACAATTGAGAAGGCTTTAAATGTTTCAGAGTTCAAGCTTTAATAGAAGTTGACATGAATAAGACCACAAGACGATAAGTACACCAGTTGCTTCGTTGATCACTTTGCAAATACAAAGGCCAGTAAATTTCTCGTAAAATAGACTGTAACATGGCGTTGTTGTTATGGCAACGCTATGTTACGCTGCTTTCTTGATACTAAAAACTGTCGAAATGCTATGTATTTTCTGTGTAGTCTGACGTTTTAGATATAAAATCCAATCTAGAAAATGCACAAACGTTAAAAAAAGAATATTATCATAACTGTACCTTTATGATGTGTCATAATAACACATGTGTGAAGTTAAATTTTTGTGTATGTAAAACGTCTGACTGCAAAGCAGATACATAGCATTTTGGCTATTAGTACCTAGAAAGCAGCGTAACATAGCGTTGCCATAATTACAACGCTAAGCTACAGTCTATTTTACTGGAAAATTGGCCCCATAGTAAAGTCAATCAATTTCACGCACTCCCAATTTGATAAACGCTTCAAAACTTTTGAATTCCGAATTTTGCAATAAAACTATTCCATTAAGCAATCAATATCGTGACGTTGACATCAAAGGGTTTGGGCCTGTTTCCATACAGAATTGGCCCCACCCTGGTATTTGAATAATTTTGATGCCATTTTATAGGTATTTTTGAGAAAATTCGAAATACCAAATTTCAAATCCGTAGCTCATCATTTGGCCGAGATATCAGTGAAAACATGTGAAAGTGGCCCCTTTTTTCAAACTCACTCTTTGTCGGAAATATGAGAGATATCGACAAACTGTTAACGTCGTTCTATTTGTACTGATCTTGTCTATGTTGTTCATAACAAATAATGTGAAAAAATTATTTGTTAGTGCGTGAAAAGGTGAAAATGATTTTTCATTTTTCATTTTCTACCAGTGCGGCTTTTTTGACTACTTTTATATTAGCATCATTCGAAAGCCTGTACATTTGTCTTCTATTATTCAAAAGTTCATTTAAATCTAAGTGGAACTTTGGGATAAAAGTGGAAAAATTAAGCTGCAACACCAAGCGAGCACTGCCAACACGGTTCACACGAGAACACCCATATAAATAAAGTCGCTTTGCACGCAGAGCGACGAGCAAGCATAAGGCTTGTCGTTTTCGCGCGTCTCGACAAATTAGGTATATAAGTATGGAAATATTTATTAGAAACCAAAATTTATTTATATCTTGATATATAAGTATATTATTAGTCATAATAAAAATCCAAAGCGTCGAATAAAAATAATAATTATTATTATTGATTATTTTCATTCGCCGTATAAGCTGTGACTAAGATATAATAGTAGTATATAATGTATGAAAAACTAAGATTTCAATATTTTTAAATATTTTTCATATATTTGAAGTATATGAATATTCTCTGTGAGTGGAGCGTAATTGCAGCTCCAATGTACAAATGCAACAACGCAGAAAGCTGTTCGCTTCATACAGGGCAATAAAAAATATTTACCCAAAATATTAGGTATAATTTTAAGTGGAGTACAAGTTTAAGCGTCACCAAGAAAGCCACAAAAAAAGTACCCTAGTACCCCGACGAGCGAAGCAGTCACAATTCTTTAAGTTGTTATTATAATTAACCGCCCGACTCGCGAAACCAGGTAAAAGTAACTAAAAGTAATATTATAATTCTTACTAATAAGTGAAATATTATTGAATGGACAAAGTGTGTTTCAATATAAACCCAAATTTACAATTTTGAGGAAATGTCCCAGTGAGCAATGACGTTAACAGTTTGTCGATATCGTTTTCCGACAAAGAGTGAGTTTGAAAAAAAGTCACTTTCACATGTTCCACTGATATCTGGCGGCCAAATGATGAGCTACGGTTGAAATTTGGTAATTCGAATTTTCTCAAAAATACCTATAAAATGGCATCAAAATCTGTATGGAAACACGCATAGAACCCTTTGAGTATGACCAAATGAGATCATCTAGTGTACGAACGTCCCCGGTGTGCGTGGTGATGTGGTGCTGGAGCATGGTACCTACATCGTCGTGCTCCCAGTGCGTGCCGGCGGCGGCCGCGGCGCACAGGCCTGCTTCGTTGCCATCTTGGACTTGGCATACTCAATGCGGATGGCGCCACGGTCGCTCGACAATAAAAACGATCCCTGCAGCGCTTGCATGGCGCTGGCGGCACCCGCCACGTCGCGGTACTCGACAAATGCGACGGGGCGCGCGGCAGCAGTGCCGACCAGTTGTCCGTTAGTCGCACAGGCGCGTTGCCGGCCGCGACGTCGAGTTGCCGGTTGCTGATGCTGTGCTGGATTGGCTTCCTTAGAGTGCAGCATGCGCAGGCGACAGAAGCCAGGGAAACTGTGCCGACAACAATAACACGAAAGGGTTCTACTACAAATGTTTCTGGCTGATTATATCTAATTTTACACAGCCAAGATATGCTGTTCAACAATCTTAGGCTGGATATAGGGAAATTTTTCCTATCTGATATCATAAAAATTCTAATTATTGTTAAATAAATTCTAATATACCGCAAAAATAATATTGCAAAATATGATTATTGCAAACTAAATATACAACCGCGCGTTCATTAAAATCAAATCTATATTTTTATACTGAAAAATATTAAATGAATCTTTGCAAATACAGTCTGGGCATCTGATATACGACATCTTTTTTTTCAGTCTTTTAGAACAATCGTACAGGTATCACGTTTCTGGTGCATTCGCTATCTATTCATTAAAATTGTTATATAGAATATATATTAATAATTATATGAAATCTAAAAATTTAGTAAATATTTATCTTTCACATTTTTACATTAATATATTTGGTAAACAAACTTTTTAATAACAAATATATTATTTGGCAGCACAAACCGTTTCAGATAGAAGCCAAACCATTTAAAATTTATCAAGCAGCGAATAAAAGTAAATGACGGACAAAACAAGAATAATTAATAAATTGGTCACTTAATTTTGTAAAATAATGTTAGTTGTACATAAAGTATTTTTTCTAATAATTTGATTCTAGAAATTTCAAGAATCTGTAATTAAGTGCGGTGTGACCAAGTGGCCGTATGATGTCGTTGCATCTGAAGCTTCAAAATACTTGTTTTCAAAAAGAATGTTTTAGTTACATTTTAGGAGACATAGTTCTTCATAATCGGCCCAGAAATCGGAGTGCAGATATGATCTAATAGGTATGAACACAATAAATAAGTTCGTGAAATAATGTGTGTTGTGCATGGAAGAAATTGACATTGGTTTCATGCTATGCGAAGATAAAGGAATATTTAATGCATTAAATATATAAGTGCATTTATAATTTGTGTTTTATTAAAAAAAATGTTTTACTTGCAATCACGCATTAACGTAAAAACTTGTACGTATTCTGTTGGATTGTTGATTAGTAAAAAATTCGTTTCTATAAACACTGAGGCTGATTGGAAACCATCATACGCATGCGTAATAAGAAATAATTGGCGTCTCCCTTCATTATCTGTGCACGCATTTGGCGATTTCCAGCAACTTTCAGTGTCTGTGGAAATAAAGATATAATATTGTGAACATACGATATTAGATCAATCAATACCCAAATCATATATGAAAGCAAATAAAATAATTTTAAATTTCAATTTATAGAAATATAAAAGTTATGTTAGCAGAGACGTTATGATTCGATTTATCAAACTGAGTTTTTATTCAATAATCAAATGCTAACTGAATTCTGATTGAGATGATACGGAACGATTTGAGAACAAGTTGTTATAACGAGAGTTGATATTAGATTCTCACGAATCGATTTGGTATCATTTTGACTTGATAATTTACGTTTGGATTGAGATGAGATAAGTTGATATTCTTTTGATACAACGCGATATGATTGAAGCAAAATGATAAAGCATTAGTTTAGATGATGAAGTTGGCATGACGCGGTATGATATTCGATTAAAATGACGGGGTTATGTATACAACATTATTCGCCTTGAAGCTTTTGATCTTGTTCATTTGAATCCAAGACGTCACAAATTTTATCATTTGATATCCCATATTTTATATGGAGGAATAAATAAACGCATATGATTTTACATAATTTCATACAGTTTTTAGTAAGTATTGTATTTTACTGATAAATACTTTTAGATTAATTTATAATAATATTAAGCTACAAATAGGTAATAAAAAAGTATACGCGACACAAATTTTGATTTTATTACAGGAAGTTTAGAATAAATTCGATCAGACAAACTAAAAATCTAATTCTCAATGCTTTCTAGATAAAGCATCCCTATAAACCTATAAGATTGAAAATCCAGAGTCGCCATACGTTACTTATTTTCTAAATAACGTTACTACCCAAAATTAGGAAGTAAAATTCATTCAAATCTCAGTAAACAAAATGATCCAAAACTATCCGGCAAGATCTCTATAAATATTATTTTTCGATTCGAAAGACATTTGTTAAAAACCGTATATTTAAAATATGTGAACCAATTAAAAATAGGTGTAAAATTAGTAGCCTGGCGTCTCTGGATCCTCGATCTCTAATCGACAGTATGTCATGCACAATCTGAATGGTCATTTATTAAAGCATACCTGCTGAATATCTCTTTGAGTTCATGCTCCGATACGAACTGCCCGAGATTTGCAACGAATAGAGTTGAGCAGGGAGCGTTGGAGGCGACCGCCGGCTGGGAGCCGCAGGAGCCGACGGGCGACGCCAGCGCCGGAGATGGCAGAAAGTGCGGCAACGACGCGTGAATTGATGTCAGAGCCGTCGGATGCGGTAATGATATCTGCGTCTAGATAATAATAATAATATAATCTCAATTGTAATTATAATATAAAATCGTTAAAAATTATAATAATCAATTTTCGCAAGCATAATTTCCTGAAACTATTTCTTCATTTATGGATCTATTCTTATTGTCATGGGAAGTAAATACAGAACAAATGTGCTTTACCTTCTTTTAGTGTTTTCCGCACTCAACAGAGGGCACAGAGTCTATTGTGCTCAAATTTATTACTCATTTTAAAAAGCTAATTCTCTTATTATGATCCACGTACGTACTAATGTTTCAAATTTTTCAATTCTATTTTTTTGCGAAAACATCTTTGTGATTTAGTAGAAAATATATTTTATACGCGTTAAATAGGCTTATTTTCTCATCTCTGGTTTGGTTTATCGCTTTGTTCCCAATTCATTAATTCAAATTAATCAGGTTCACTTTTCCCACATTATATATTTATATAAATCTAATCTAGAATGAAACCGAGAGGTAAATTTACGTGCTAAGTTAGTGGCGCCCCTATTGAGTGCGGAAGCAATTATAAATGAACTAATGGCAAAGCGGCTGTATTACGATCTATTTATACTCATTTTATCTTTGTATATTACTTAAAATAAATGAACAAAACAATTTACGTTGAGTCTTGCAATTTTTGGTGCGGTTAATGTATTTCGCTCAATTTACTATTTTGACACTTTTATATTCGACACATTGGAAAATACTGGCGAATGATTAGACATTAGATACCAACCTTCTTGTTCAGATCATCCCCCTTTTTTACTTATTGCTTCCGCCTTAATTTTTCTAATAATTTAGTTTCATAAATACTGAACAGATATTATAATTTATTTTTCAGACTGAAAATTAATATACAATATATTAACTTGTAATAAATTAATATACGACTATAAAACTTATATCTGAAAAATAATTTATATCAGTTCAGTATTTATGAAACTAGATTGTTAGAAAAATTAAGGCGATAGCAAAAATTAACTAGTGGTGTATGACATCGTGCCTTAAGGCAAATTGCTGGAACTACCCGTACCGTAACGAAATGTTCGAAGAATATTAAATGTTCTCAAATAGATTATTATAAATACTGTAAATTGTCTAATATTTATAATAATTATATAAGCTGAATTACAAAGTTAAAATTATTTATTTAAAGTACGTGAGCTTTAGAACTCACCAGAATTAAAATTAAAATCTGAATTATTTTCAATATACAAAAAAAAACTAGGAAAAAAAATGAAATAAAAAAACCATTTTTCTAAAAGCAATTGTTTTGTCAACAAAAGCAGAAAGTTTATTGAATCATTCAAATCGGATGCCTAGTTAATTAAGCAAAATACATTAAATGTACCAAAACTTGCAAGACTTAAAGTAGAATTTATGTAAAATAATCCATGAAGCATAATTTACTTATTCATTCATCTTATATATAAAATTGAATCGCAAAATGTGTTGGTAAGCGCATAACTCAAAAACGCCTGAACCAATTTGGCCAATTCTTTTTCTAAAATGTTCGTTGATGTCCAAGGATGGTTCTTACGGCGAGAAAAAATCAAATAATTGCCGGGAAAACCCTAAAAACAGCCCTTTTCCTTTTCTCATACAAACGTTTTCTAACTAAAACGTAGAATCAATTTGAGCTTTATTGCTATTATATAAAGTTCATATTAAATTACAAGCACTCACTGTATACTCCTCCTAAACTATTATTCGGATTTTGATAAATCTTTCTGAAGTTTGTTAAGGAAATTTTCTAGGATGTATGTGATTTTAAAGTAGTAAGATTTATGTGCAATATTGTAGAAATAAATGAAGAAAATTGTAAAAAACGAAATGCCATTGTTTGCATTGAAAACAAATGAAAACTATCATCTGCCAAAATTTCAATTTACTTATGAACCTAGACAACATTAGAATATGTATAATAAAATTATGATTATGAATAAGAAAAATGAAATGTCTATATTATTATTGCCAAAAAGCAGCCGAGATGTGTCAGAAATTAAAATAACATAAAATACAGTATATGTATGGCAGATTGAATGAAACACATATGAACAGGACATGATAAATTAATTCATTTAAAATATGAAATAGAGTATTAATCAGGGCCGGCCCACCTTTAATGCGATGCATGCGAAAAATACGAGCCCACGCCTTAGGAACGCCAACACAAGATTCGGATATTAAATTTTCAATATAGTTTTTTTTTCAATATATAATTTCTTTGCATATTTTACTAATATTTCCACAATATTTTTACAATTTGTAAAATTTTCACTTTATAACAACAAATGGGAAAGTAAAGATGAATACATACAATTGGTCTTCACGATATCGATTAGGAGAAGTTTAAGATGCAATTTTGGATATCTTAAATAATAAAAAATTAAATTAATTTAATCCAACAATGAAGTACCAGTGTTATGTTATGGTTATGGTTATGTTATACCGTCTATGTTATAGACTTCAATTTCCAATATAGTGTAGGATTTGAGACTCATCATTTTATTTAAAGCAGTTCTACATTTAATAAGGCTCATATTATAAATGTATATGCATTTTGGCGTGGAGTAATATTAAAAAAAATGTTTAGGTAAACGGTAAATATTAGTATATAATATTAAAAAATTGTAGACATGGGTACATGACAACGTCTGTCGGGTCATCTAGTAAGAATATAAATATAAATATATTTATTATTATGTATAACAAAATAATTTCACGAAAATATAAAACTAATAATAAACATATATAAATATAAATATATTTATTATTATGTATAACAAAATAATTTCACGAAACTTTCAGTGCACTTTCTGATTTTACCTCAATATAATATACATAAATATAATTCGGTTAATGCATTTTGGTGTGAAGAGTTTTTAAAAAAATATATTTTTAGGTAAACGGTAAATATTAGTATATTATATTAAAAAAATGTAGGCATGGGTACAGGACAACGTCTGTAGGGTCATCTAGTTTTTTATATAATTTCAACACTTTTGGTTTATTTTAAAAATAGTGTTTTGGAAAGCTGTACGCCCCTCTTAGAACAGTCTTGCGTTCCACTGAGGGGGCGTGCTCTACAGGTTTGAAACCACGATTACGATAAACAAAAACTGACCAATAAAAAATAAAAGCTTATTAGAGAATGAACTTATGAATTTCATATAAGATTCCCGAAGCTGGATAAGTGCCTAAAATATTTTGAATATTTTCCGACATTTTCACTTTAGGATCATTTGAAATTACTCATTTGAAATTCAAAAACAAGTATGTATGTATGGCCAGACAATGCTATACTACAATTTCTATGGATGGCTATAAATTTTTATAGATTGTCAAATACTGATGTAAATTAGTAACTTCCATTGACTTTTAAACTTCTATAGAGTTCTTTTGTAGATTTATACATGTGGTAGAAAACATCAGTAAATAACTAAAAAAATAATAAATTGCTATAAAAGTTCATGGATTACTGCATATTTCTACCGATTGCTAAATATTTCTATAGATGATTAAAAGCAAATTTGTTTGGATATCAATAAAGGTATTAGTTCTACTCACGTGATGAGCTAAGTGATGATGATGTTGCGGCTCCATGGCTGACGTCGGTTTGTCAGCAGCTAGTCAAAGATACGAGCGGACTGGCACCTGTGGGTGCAGCGCCGGATGGACGAGGGCGGCATGGTGCTGCAGCGCTGCTCCGGGAAGCTCCGCCGCGGCGCTGTACGCCAACGGGTGGTGCCACAATTCCGGACCTCCGGGGAAGAACGGCCCGCTCAGATCTGTCATCATAACATTATGATAGTGAAGATCTGAGTGGACGACAAAGTTAAAGTTACAAACGCAAACATGAAGACGTTTGACCCTTACACCATTTTGTATTTATAACTTAGATTAACGGACATAGGATAAAATCCGCCTCAACTGTTCATATCATGGAAAATGACATTTTTGAAGGTGCACCACATTTTTATTTATATCGTAAATTCAAATCTTGAACAGTATGCTGAACTTTGTAAATGTGCATTCATGCATTATATATATATATATATATATATTTTTGAATATTCTTGAATTTGATGTTGATATATATGTTTAATTTGAGTTTAATATTCGGGCGTAACATCAATAAAAATAGTATGAGTTTTTTTAAAAAAATTTATTTATTTAAAATCCATACGTTTCGGCTAGCATCTTAGCCATCATTCAGTGGTAATCAAGTTAACTATAAAAATTGGAACTAAATAAATTATATGAAAGGAAATTTCATGGAAAAACAATAATAATAATAATAGTAATAAAACACTTACAATTTTGTATCCTAATATAGCATATGAAACCATTATTAATCCATGGTATGAGTATGTGCACATTGATAAGATATGTATTTTTTAACACAAACATCACAAATGGTAAAACACACTAATAATCATGATAACTTGACAAGTTGTCGAAACTATGTATTTACTCTTCGGAGTTTAGGATAGAAATGTCACAACTTTCTCAAAGTAGTTTTTAGCATGTGTTGATATTTTTTGGAAAATTTAAAAGGCGATGGGATTTTGTTATTTTTTAAGGAATTTTGACACGCTATTAAGAAACCACGTGTTCGTTTCGATAAGGGCCGTATTGTCATTGCGTTTATTTATGACTCTCTCGTTATGTAATTGTAAAAACAACCCCTCAGCGAATCTTCTTTTAATTGTATTCTCTTCAAAATGTAAAATTTTAGGGTTAAAAAAATCGATATTGTGATTTAAATTTTTAATATGCTCCTAGCATAGCATATTAAAAATTTAAATCACAATATCGATTTTTTTAACCCTAAAATTTTACATTTTGAAGAGAATACAATTAAAAGAAGATTCGCTGAGGGGTTGTTTTTACAATTACATAACGAGAGAGTCATAAATAAACGCAATGACAATACGGCCCTTATCGAAACGAACACGTGGTTTCTTAATAGCGTGTCAAAATTCCTTAAAAAATAACAAAATCCCATCGCCTTTTAAATTTTCCAAAAATATCAACACATGCTAAAAACTACTTTGAGAAAGTTGTGACATTTCTATCCTAAACTCCGAAGAGTAAATACATAGTTTCGACAACTTGTCAAGTTATCATGATTATTAGTGTGTTTTACCATTTGTGATGTTTGTGTTAAAAAATACATATCTTATCAATGTGCACATACTCATACCATGGATTAATAATGGTTTCATATGCTATATTAGGATACAAAATTGTAAGTGTTTTATTACTATTATTATTATTATTGTTTTTCCATGAAATTTCCTTTCATATAATTTATTTAGTTCCAATTTTTATAGTTAACTTGATTACCACTGAATGATGGCTAAGATGCTAGCCGAAACGTATGGATTTTAAATAAATAAATTTTTTTAAAAAAACTCATACTATTTTTATTGATGTTACGCCCGAATATTAAACTCAAATTAAACATATATATATATATATATATATATATATAATATAAATATAGATATATTTGAATTTTTTTGCTCACAAGGGCTAAAATGCTTCCAAAATGATAAAAAAATCTCTGAAAGTTCAAGCTCTTAAGGGGCACAACTAGTGTGAAATTTTCAAAAAATCGAATTTTCAATTTTTCCATATTTCGATAGGTTATACCTTTAAAAATAACATACTAAAATTTTAAATCGATATCTTAAATAGTTTTTGAGTCACAGCCATTTAAAGAGTGTATATATAGTATAAAGTATAACGATAATTTTATCTTTAAACGCGTTTTTCTCGAAACAGCATTCTCCGAATTTGCTGCAGCGATTACTCGATTACGCCGTCATTTTGATTTTTTTTCTTTATGGTAGTTAATTTTACAGACAATATTATCTAGCTTAACTAGAATTTTTTTCTTAAATTTCATCCACGTAGAAGGCCGGAATCACTGCAGCAGTGAAGGGCCTTTTTTTGTCGCGCCGTTGGAGATCGACGATAACTTAAAAAATATTTATTTATTTTTTCAAAAATTTTACTATGTATTCTTAAGACATGTATAAATATATTCCTAAAATTTCGAAATGATTGATAAAGTAGTTTTTTAATAAAAATTCCCTAAAATCACCTTTTTTTAGGCGGTTACACTAGTTGTGCCCCTTAATATTAAGTTCAAAATAGTCCGTATTACAACCAAAGTTACCTATGGAAATAACATGAGTAAAATTTTATTAGTTTTTCAGAATTTCATAATTTAATGTGTATCAAAATTTTGAGAATATTATAGCATTTGCTTATTTTAACCATAAACAAAAAATTTACAACAAAATTTTGATATATTTTATGAAATAAGTATTTACTTAGGAAGAAAAATCAAGAAACTTTGGTTGGAGTGCAAACTATATTAAAGTTAATATTAAGACTTGAAACTTTCAGAGATTTTGTGTCATCAATTTGGAAGCATTTGAGCCCCTGGATGCATGGAAATTCGAAAATATCTATATTAAGGACCACCCTAATATATATATATATATATATATATATATATATATATATATATATATTAGGATATAAAGCTATCCAAATTCTATTCCTTTAAATAGTCTTAGAAATTCTTTAAAATCATATAATAACCCACCCTTACCCATCATATAGAGTCTAATGATCAAGTATTTTAAATGAAAATATCTGAAACAACAAAAAAATTGGATTTCATATTTTTTGCAGAAAAACGTAAATTAAAAGCCTTAAAAATCCAAATCTTGACCAAAATGCAATTTTTTTGATTTTACATAATTAAACTCGTTTTTGATATAAAAATTCAACAAAACATTGAACATAATTGTATAAGCTTTGGGGACCAATTAATAACTAATAATAATAATTATGACTATAGTACTGAAAAAAACTTGTAACATTTGGTCTCGCTTCCAATTGGTGTTGTAAAACTGAATTCGATTGCTGATTTTAAATACTTTGGTAATAAATATGCAATTATAAACATGGAATTTACAATGCGGTTTTACACAGTGGCGGTATTTATATATTAATAACTACTTTTTAGCACTTTATCCTCAAACCATAATAAATGACTCATATAACTCATTAAATTTTTGAAGTACGTTTCAGCATACAATCCATAGCGATGATCTTTCGACCATTGCTATATATTTCTATAGATGTTCTATACAAAAACTTCTATAAATTTCTAAGGATTGTTATATATTAATATAAATTGCTATAGATATCCATGGATTTTCATAAGTTTCTATAGATCACTGATAAACATGTCTGGTGTACTAATTAGTAAAACGGCCAGATAATGATATAATATATAATGATAAACGAGTGGAATTTTTGGTCGGATTCATCTCATCATCTGCGTGAATGTGTCAATATTTACAAATGCACTCTACTGTACATAATAGTAAAATGTCCTTGGCTTGATTTGCTTGCAAAAAGTGATAGTAGAGAATATTTAATGCTAGTGCGAATGCTAATAAAATAATAAATACAGAGTACAGTAAAACTCACGGCCAGTAAGTGGGTGCATTAGTGCTGGGTGTGCAGCCGCTGTGGTGGCGACTGTCGGCTGAGATTTCGGTTTGCTGACTTTAGTGTTGCTCTTCGCAAACTCGAGGCGGATTGTCTGCGGCATGTCTGGATCGAACCTGACACCCTGCTGAATGATAGAAATATCAAACGACCTGCATTATTGGCCATGCAATCGATACTAAATTAAAAATAATCGATACGACTACTCTGACGATTAAGATTGCTCAATTATCTTACCACAAGTTCACAGAAATCTAAGAATCCCGAACAGAACAAGTCGATTCGAAGAATACTTTCGATCATTGCAATCGCCAAGTAGAAAATGATGATCTGCCACTTTTTCTACCATAATATTTATCATAAGAAAAATAAGGGGCCAATTCTCCGAATCAAATATTTATGTTATGTTACCAGTTTCTATTGTCGAATAATAGTATGCAGTGCAGCTTTTTCACAGTTACCACATGTGAAAAAGTTATGTCTTTGCTGCTCAATCACTCAATCAAACACTAAATCTAACCTCTAAAACCTAACTTCCAAAACAAATGTCTAATAACAATGTTATCATAAGTGCAACAATTTGTTGTCAACCATAGATTTTATACTACATGAACTGCTAGTCGAGTGCAAAATAAGTGTAAAAAGAAAGAAGGGACTGTGAGTTAACTTGCTGAGCGAGCATTGCCGACAATCGTGGAACTCTCTCGATTGATTAAATGTCATATTTCATTTGTCTTATATCACGTGCCTAACCTAAAATTAAATCGTGAGCTTAAAATTGTTAATTTGTTGTGAAGGAAAACATCAGTCCGTATAGTGTAACACTCCCGAATGATTAAACGTCATATGCATAGGCCTTATAATATATAAACCAATTTTAACAGGTGGATTCGATTTTATGCAAATTTATTTCACAGGAGAAATATTATTAATATCATTTCTTACAAAATTATCAGTTATCACGAATGCCATTATATTATTGAAATAATCACCGATAATTTTTGAATAACATTAACTATTATAATAAAAATTATTAAATTTTATTAGTATCATTTCTTACAAAATTATCGGTCATCACAATTGCCAATGTAGTATTAAAAGAAAACATATGACATATGACATTTCATCAGTCGGCAGATTGTCGGGAACGTTCGTACAGCAAGTGATATAAGGACTAGTAGTCCATGTAGTATAAGGTCTATGAGTCCAACTTATGTTATAATCTAACGTTTGTGCCATTTTGAGGTTAGGTTTAAAAAGTTATTATTGCGTAAAATCGATCTTCGATCCAAAAGAAAAGACTACCAACTCATGCGACTATTCAACAAAAAAGATCGGTAACATAACATAATAATTTTATCCGAGAATTGGCCCCTATATTTGCAAATTTTAACACTAACTCAATGTTTTAACTCAAATTACATTTGCCAGAGATAACTCTAAAACCTTATTAACGTATCTAAAATATTATTCAGTAAATATTTATATTTATCCAGTAAAACAATTGAAGTTCCATTGTGATTACTTTCCAAATTAGTAAGTCATTTTATAATCAAAATGAATCCAGTTAAATGCTCAAGAAAAGTTACATCGTAATTAATTTATGTTTTGTTACTTAAATTTTCCATGTATTTATTTACAACTTGGCTTCTTCTAGTCATTCGTGTATATCATATTCAAAATTAATTTTTTTTAACATACTGAAGATCATATTTTCGCCAGAAAATCCGATTTGCTAATTTAATGATTTATTGGTGTTTCAAGTCATTCTGAAATGCTAGTCAAATTGAAAAACGGAAGTGTGTGTATGTGAACTAAAATTTGTTTTAAAAAATAAAAGAAAAAGACCTTTTCTTAAAAAGAGTTGCACTGACTTCATAAATTTCAAGCTATTTAATGACACTTGATCAGAAACTCGATCAGCTTCGCGCTAAGATTGGCCTAGCTTTTTTATAATTAGCAAAGTATACATTTTTCTGACAACCTTTTCACCAAAAATCCTGAACTGAGTTTGAAAACTCAAAAAGATAACCTCTAAAACATATCGTATCAGTTATGATAGTTTGTATTTATGATTTTTAAATCATATCGTGTCAGTTATGATCAGTTTTTAACAATGTTTTGGCAGGGCCATTTCGTTGCAGCTAAATATTATACAGATTTTTGCCTCTTTAATGAAACTTTATGAATCCCTGAGGATCATATCCAATTATCTGGAACAATCGTTCTCAACGGATGAAACTCTTTTTCATATCGGATCATGTTTCATAAATCACGAGAAATTATAATGAGATACAATGAACAGTTGTTATTTGTTTGAGTTACCTGTCCTTGTATTAAAAATATCTAATACGCTTTTGTGTTCGTTTAAATGAGAAATGAGTACTATTAGATGCAAATTGATGCAATTTAGATAAAGTCTGCAACTGAATCATCAACATCGCATTTACTTAAAAAATTTAGGACTTCAAACCAGATTCCAAATATATTCTAATTTTATTTTTATGTGGTTTTTACAATCTTCAAACATTACATCTGCAACATACATGAATATAAATCAACGACTCTGAGAAATGTTGAAATCAACTTTTATATGTGGATTTACACTATTTGACAACAAATTATATCTAGGTCGTATATAACCAAAATAAATTTGTATTTATATTAGTATAAGTTTATTGGTAGAAGGATCGTTTACTAAACTGAACTAAATGTAAGTGGCATTTTGCCTTAGAGCAAGTTTAATGAACTTCCCGATATATGTAAATAATCAATATCAACAAGATCAATAAAAAATTAAATTTGACAACATTTGTGGCGATAAAATTTTCAATTGCTTTCAGGGGTTTAAAACGGGTTTCACTTTTCATTAAATACTAATCAATGCGAATTCCAATTTATATGTTACATGTTTTATGTTCAGAGCAGCCTAAATGTACTATTTCAACCTTTAAGGCATTTTTACAATTTAACCAATTTTTTACAACATTGTCAACGATAGGTCTAATTTTGGCTCACTTAAGCATAACATCGGATTCGAGTTCGAGCAAATCGGATTTTCTGTTGAAATTATAATCTTAGCTTTCAGGAAGGTAAAAAACATCACTTTTTTATTTTTCATGCCAGGAAGTCCAATCCCTGGATTGGCATTCGATTTAGACATTCTAAGTACCTACTACCAAAAATTTGCTGATGTTCCATAATAAAACAAGCACAAATATTAAAAACAATATATCATTTTTTGTATCTTTATGTATTTTGATTTCCAAGTGTATAAAAACTTTAGGGATGTTACTTCTCATATCTTGTAATAATATATTTATATCAGGATTTCAACGGTACAGTTTTGCAACAAAATTATATTAAAATTATACATTCCTCAAATGATTTCGAACTATTTTAGATATTTGGCCGTGAATAAAATTTTTAATAGTATATCAAAACATTTTTGTTCCATATCAATCGAAGCATATTACAGTAATCTTTAGCATAGTGAAAAAGTTTGTCAAAAGTTTTCTTGCTTTATTTTCCAAGTGAAAATTTTGTAAAGTCTTGAGTTCATTAGTAGTTATAAAGTCGCTGAATTGGTTAATAAAACTATATATGCAGCAGCAAAACTGGTAAGCGGCATTTGAGCAAAACATTGAGATTGATGAAACAATTATGCTTCAATATTTTTATGATTCACTGTTTTCCAGGACAGTTTTTCAAATTTCAATTAATAAAAAAATTTCTACAAACATAGTTATTGAGTCAAGTTGGTGTGAGCAATAGCAGCATATAGCACAAGCTTCACTCAAATGTGCATGCAAAAAGTCAATATATTTTCAATATATTTACAAAGTTGTGAATAAAAAGTCCAAAAAAACTTAATTCTTTGTGTTCTTTGTGCCCAACATAATCCAATAAAAATCACACAACTAGTTAAATATATCACTTTTATATCTATGGATCAATTAATATGTGAAAGTTGCAAGTCTCACCTCCTAAAACAGTAATATTTAGCAGAGAAGAGAATTTAGAGTATTTTGGTCCTGCTTCTAGTTCATTATAGATGATGCACGACAGCGCAAAAAGTGTTTTGATGACGATTAGAGGAAATACAGACAAAATGACATATATGGTCAAAATGACAAAGTTGCCTTATTTAAAAATTGGCCAGTTTTAGTAATGTTTCCGCGACTGTATAACATCAGGAAAGCCATAATCATAATCCTGTCAGATGTTGAGCGTCATTGTCACAGTCTTGTCGCAGTAATCAGTTCAAACTTATATCGCGCCGTCAATAGTTTATTTTGAGTGTGGTTTGCTCGTCTTTTCTGGGGACTTATTTATTTTTATATGCAAATATTTCTTCTAAAATCATTATAGTATTTAAATCAGTACTAATGAATTCGATCCATTGTAGTTCATTTGAGTACAAGAAAAAGAAAATTGAAACCTAAAGATGATGGGCTTCCAACTTCTACTCCAAGTACTTCTAAAAACAGACCAAAGGATCCACCGGTAATAAGAGGAGACTCACATTTATTGCAAAGGCCTAGTTTGTCTTCTGTGCCAGTGAAGACTGGTTATAATGTATGATTTGATCCTTTTGAGATCATGTGCTGATGTCCGAATGAGGACTAAATGATTTATTTATGAACTGTTTTCATAAAAATTAGTATCTCATATATCATATGTTAGTATCTCGTATGTCCTTGCCCAATATATCATTTTGTCCGTACTTTATAGTTTTTGTAATTAGTTATATTTTTCCCTAATAAGTATGTTTCTATAGTTCCTACTTAATTAAGAGACTATGTTGCTGGAACCGAATGAACTTAAGGTGAGTAAAAACTACAGAGACTGATTATAATATTGTTAAATAAATATCATAAAAAACAAAACATCATGTCATTTTGTCCGTACTTCATCTGTAAGTCGAAATAATATAACCATTTTAGATAAAGCAGGTATTTTATGGTAAGCAATAATTCAGCACGCTATTCTTGCTTTCATTGAATGAATTTTTGCCCTATAGATTTGTTGTTGACAATGAAATAAAACAATTAGTATATATGATCTGTAATAATGTGACCATATTTATGTAGGTCAAAACCGGGACGGCAACTTGGTAGTTGCGCTAATCCGGAGAGGGGTGTGGTTGTGGTAGCAAAATTTTGAAAAATTGAAAATTAAAGACAAAATTTGCTAATTTTCGTAAAATTAAAAAAAGAAGTCCCAAATTATCAATGCGAGATTCTATTTTAACACTTTGGTGTTTTGCATTCGGAAATTTTCCCATTCATAACATATTGTTTGATAGGGGGAAGTCCCGTAACGCCGGACGGCACCTAATGCCGGACACTGTATTTAACACGATTAACTAAACGAGTATATATCTTTTCATTTCAAAATACAAATGAAGGGAGTACGGAAGGCACACAGGTACAGGATCACGAGCAAGCCCCGCCTGTGACGCACACGGCCACAATTGCTGTTTTAGGCGCAAGATCACGGCGTCACCTAAATATCAATGGATGTAATTCTAGTATGTTTATGCATATACATTTGTGTGATATGCAAAGATAAAAGTAGTACTTGATTGTTATCCGTAAAATTGTAGAATATTATTAGATATTTTAAACAATTTTAGTAGGTACCACCAAATAAACGAAAATGTTTGCCCTTTAGCACCAGACACTAAGTCGTCCCATAGCGCCGGACAGTAAACATATTAATATTTCTTGTGAGAAGTGACGTAATTTATTCTAATTATTAAATTTTGATCTGTATGAGTGCTAACGGTCACTACAAACCCCAATTTTTCGTATTTCCTAGTCAAAGAATAAAAATCTTAAGACGAATGCTCCAGCATTGGCGTGGCCCAGCAATAAGGATGGATAAATAGTGATTTTTTTGCAATATCTAAGAATATTCGTCAAACACATATGTGCAAACATTTCAAAGTGTGGAGATGACTACATATGTGTTCAATGCTGGTTATTTTGATATGTCCGGTACTAGGTGCCACTTTGTAAAATCATATTTTTTGTTACCAAAGTTTGATTGATAGTATCAATTATTTTTTAGCAAAGATTGCGTTTTTGTTGACTTAGTTTGATTTCTAACATTGTTATCTAATATAAGTCATAATTTAATAAACATTTAGTAAAATAGTTTCTAATTTATCTATAAATAACCTTAGGTGTCCGGCACTCGGGGACTTCCCCCTATAAGCTATTTGTTGTTTACATCATTTTCCGACATTTGATGGATGTTCATATCTATATTTTTTAAAAACCCAGAACAATCCGGGACAAAAGAATGAATTTCGGGACAAATATTGCTTTTATGAAAATCCGGGACACAAGGTGGAAATCCGAGACTGTCCCGGCCAAACCGGAATATATCTTATTGGTCACCGGTCACCTTATCTGTACATATATACTAGTTTAAACACTATTGTCTGAAAAAAGTAAAACTATTGCGTACTTGAAACAAACAATCCTTACATATGTAGTACTTATTTACACATAAGCACACAAAACACTGTCGCCAATAAACCAAATAAAATATAGATTAATTGTTATATTTAATTTAATAAATTAAATTTAAATTTACTTTAGATACCTGTAAATCTTGTTTAGCTGCTTCGGCGCCAGCGCGTGTGTGAAATGTCACGAAACCAACGGGCTGTGAAAAAATTATGTTAGTTTTGTAATACATGAATTATTAATAACGTTTTTTATCAAAAATGTCAACAAAGTCATTAGAAACGTTGCGACTTGTAGATTAAATGACTACCAAAATTACAGTTCACAATTAGTCTTTTTTCTTTACCTTTAAAAACCTCATAAAATAAAACAGTTTTGTCGAAACTTTATTCATGTAAAAATCACACAGACTGCGATTCTGATTTTTAAAGGAAAAATGTATTTTTTAATATTCCAAAATACTGCAACGAGTTTTGTATAATATTTCCATGATAAAATAAAATATTTGATAATATATCAAGTTTCTGTTTATTGAAAATTAGTAATAAAAATAAACTAACAATTCAAATAATTTGTTAAACAAAAAAAGCTCATCGTTTAGTAATCGAGCCAACAAAGCTTTTACTTCAAAACATTTTTGTTTTAAAACATTTACCTAAATATTGATATTGCAAATTCTAAACTTAGTAATAAATTGTGTGGGCGCTTACATATTCAAAATTAAAATTTCGAAAATAAAATTGATGAGATGTGTTATTGATAAAAAAAAATTAAATACTCCAAATATAAATACTAATATTGACAAAAAGTACTATAATTGCAGATGTTGGACGATTCTTTTAGATTTAGTGGGTCAAACCGATATTTGAATAAAATAAGCAAGTTTTATAATAATATAAGAAATTGATATTAATTGAAATAATAGCTAAAATTCTGCTGAATCTTTTGAATAAATCATATCAATTACTTCAGCAAAAAAATATTCCTTACCGATGCCGTTTTTCCATTTTTGCTTGTAACTTTCAAGAGTGATCCTTCATAACCCTGAAAAAATTCAATTCAAACATATTTTTAACTCGGTAAAAATGTTATTAACATAATAAACATTCTGGTATTAGGTTTTACCTCATAGGCCCTGAATAATAGATATAGTTCCCTGGGTTTTGCGTCCATTGGCAATCCACTGACAAAAAGTGTTCGCACCTGGAAAGAAATGATGGAAATTATTAAACAGAACAAATATAATTACATATGGCTACATTTTTAATAATTTCTTTAAATTGTCTGTATACATGATTAATTATTCTCATTTTTGAAACCTATATTTTTCCAATCTTTGAATTTTTGATCACTAAATTTTTGGATAGGGTAGGGAGGGGCACAGAAGTCCAATTTCACTTCTAATAATTTCAATGTGGAAACCAAACTAACTAAAAACTCCTAGCTAATTCATCACATTGAACTTTTTTTTCTAAAAAAAAATCTAAAAATTCGTCGCCTGGTTATCCCATAGACTTCGTAAAAAGTGGCAACCAGGGAGTAAAGAGATCCACTATTTTATTTTTAATTTTAGAGAGCTTTTTATTTTTAATTTTAAATAGCTATATAATTTATTCAATGCGATAGAGTTCAATAACAAAATAAAAAATTATAATGTGAAAATAAATTTTTAAACATAAATAATAAACAAAAATCTTCATCAACTCATACTACAATCATAAATCTGGTTTTAGGATGTTTTTCTATTAAATTTATACTGATCAGACTTTTTTTTGAAATAAAATTATAACATAAAATTAAACATATTTGAGCACATTTTTTACAAAAATTATTTTCCATTCATCATTAGAGTTGAAATAAATATTAATTTAATTTATATCTCATAAAATTGCTATTTTTAACTTATTTTTCTTTTATATTATAGTATAATGTATTCAATAATATATATAATATTTTCTATATATTCAGCATATAATATATTCTGAATTGAATAGTATATTTTTACAAATTATGTTTAGGTATCGTAAACTAAACAACAGTGCTCAAAACTAAAATGAACTAACAACGAAATAAAATACTTTCGTTGAAAAATTTACAATGTGGTCTTTTATCTGGTTACACATTTTTTGCCTTCTTCTTTAAAATAGTATCCTCAAAATAATACAAACCTATTGGGACATTTCCCATAAATGTAAATTTGGGTTTATATTGAAACACACTTTGTAATTCAATAATTTATTTCACTTATTAGTAAGATTTTATAATATTATTTTAGTTTACTTTGACTGGTTTCGCGAGTCGGGCGGTTAATAATAATAACAAACTTAAGAGAAATTTGACTGCTTTCGCTCGTCATGCGGGTACTTTTTATGTGCTTTCTTGGTGACGCTTAAAGTTGTACTAACTATTATACCTAAGATTTCGGGTAAATATTTTTTATTGCCCTGTATGAAGCGAACAGCTTTCTGCGTTGTTGCATTTTGTACATTGGAGCTGCAATTCGCTCCACCTATCTTTGATGATAGACCTTTTACCAGCAGACTTTAAAGCACCGTTTTACTCTATTTTCAATTTTAATTATTTCGTATTTTGGATTTAATTAAATTTTTTAAATTCTTTAAATTTTGTTTTTTTTTGACGTTTTGAAACTTTAAAAATTTTGTTGAAAATAAAATATATATGCAATTTTGTTCCAAAAGTTTTAAATTTCAGCACATATTTTATTTTTAGGTATTTCAATATCACTTTTTAATGATTTGAAGTTTTGGGATTTGGGTTTTGATGTCTTTCAAGGGATTTATTGATATTTAAATGTTAAAATAGTTGTATTTATTGATGATTAGATAGTTTGATATTTCGGCCAGTTTATTGTATGCTATTGCTATATTTTTGATTCCCCAATAATCAATTTGCAATCCTATATTTTGATCTGTAAAAATAGTAAATTGGATAGGTGATAAAATTTTTAAATTTCTAACTTCCCGTAGGGTAAGTAACAGTAATCGCAAAAAATCAAAAGTGAAAATTTTTATATATCTTTACGTTTCAGAGGCTTCTGAATATTTTGGCATAGGTTAGAAAAAATTGATGTGTGTGTGTGTGCGTGTGTTCTCGGATACAAATTTTTGTCGACGATTTCGTGAAGACGGATGCACAACAAATTATTAGAGATTTTAAAAATAAGTATTTACATTTCCATGGGTTCCGTACCAGTGTTTATCTGTTAGACTGCAACGCAGCGCTTACGCGCTTTGATATTTCCTATATGCGCTACGAAGCGCATCGCGATTGCTTAAAAATAAGTTTAACATTTCTATTTATATTTCATATTTCTCTTCTTGCTTATTTCTATTTCTATTCTTTTATATTTCATAATATAAAAAAATTTAAATTTTTCAAAAAGGTATTTTTTTTCGAAATCTTTCAAAATTCTCAAAAATCAAATTATTTAAAAGCTTTTTTTAAAAAAAATGAATCTTCTTTAAAAATTTCAATTTGTGGTACGGAAAGTTCCAGCAATTTGCCTCCAGGCACAAAGCTTTGCACCTACTACTAGTTCAATTTTAATTCAAAACAACAATTTGATCATTCCTTTACATTCGCTTTTACAACTTGAAGTCTGGTCTTGATAAAATCTATTTGCACGTAACTTTTAAAACGTTGAAAAATGAACACTTATAGAGGGAGCAAAGCCAATTTTCTTCCTTATGGAAAATATATGTCATTTTTCCCTCGGCTTTCCGCACATCACAGTTCGTAAAAGCAAGGGGTGTCTGGCATTTTGCCTAAAGAGCGAACAAAATTACCCACTCCGAAAAATCGCGGCACAATTTATAAAACGATCAAGTCAAGTAGATGTCTGGAAGGTATCTTCAAGGCTCCTTACTAACATATAATATATTAAATACAAAGTCCTTTAATTAATGATAACACAGTTTAGCAATGCCGTTTTTGACGATTAGCGACCCATATTTCCAACATTTAAATAATATTTTCTAATATAATATAATATATTAGATAATAAATATAATATAATATTTAAATTATTAATGTAGGATAGATTGGGCACGGTCGTGTCCCTTTTTTGATCAGCTGTAATTTTATTAATTTACCAGTTAGTTGGACAAAACCAAATTAAATAGTAATTCCAACATTCCTGTACGTGGAAATACTAAAATACTGTCCTTAAATACGAAAATACGGATTTCATAGATGTCTGTATACTTTTATATTTTTTGATTTCGAAAACAATGTTTTCTCTATTTTATTTTCTACACTTATTACCACTTTATAGAAGTTTGTAAGTTTATTTAAACTTTTAAAGTCTTCTACACAATCTTATAGGTTTACATATATATTGCAAGATTTATATATACTTTTATTGGCTATTGTAGACAATAGTAAATTTTTGCAAACGTAAATATTAAATAAATTGAAAAAAATGCATTTGTATAGTACTATGATTTTAATGAATTTTTAGGTTTCGTTAAATTTCAATATATTATCATCCTATATCTCTAGAAATCAATATATAAATAAAATAATATACATTTTATAAATTAGTTTTATAATTAATTTATACCAATAATAATGTAAGACAGAAACAGCAAATTTCTATAAATTTTGGCGTCTTCATTAGCTTGTTAACTTCCCGATGAAGATGTTTATGTTTTCATAAAAAAATCGATTCACTAATTTTATGTTTTCTCGGCGTTTCAAGCCATTCTGAATTGAATGAGACCAAATTTGGAAAAACTATGTGGGCGTAAACAGATTTTTTGACGTCAATCGACGTTTTCTCAAAAACGGCTGGACCGATTTCAAAAATTTAAAAGCCATTCGATGTATCTCAATGAGGACTAGCGTTTATAAACGTCTTTATAGCGCCTGTAAACGATCAGCCAAGCTGTTTCTTTGTAAATCGCAAAAAAGTAAAAAAAAATTCGTCCACGTTTCAGCCCACAATTCTGAATCGATTTTGAAAATTCAAAAACTGTTCGAAAGATATTGGTTCGGAATCGTGGTGATTAGTTTTTGGTAAAGATGGGCCGGACCGTTTTCTTGTAATAAATTGTTAAAAAAAAATTTTCGACGATTTTTATGATTTGTTTTTAACGGTAGTCACCGTAGTCTTATATATCATACTAAATTATTACAGCTCTACGACAAGTGGTTTAATTTTAAAAAAATTTTAAAGTTTGCAAAAATGAGTATCGTTTTGTCATTTATCAAAATTAGACCTTCCATCGACGTTTGCTCAAAAACGCCTAAACCGATTTCAGAAATTTAAAAGCCATTTGATGTATCTTAATGAGGACTATCGTTGGTCGGTTTTGTGCGACGATCTGCCAAGCCGTTTCTTTGTAATTTGGAAAAAAGTGTTAAACTTTTCGTCCACATTTAGACTCATACTACCAAATCTATTTAAAAAAATCAAAAACTGTTCGAAAGATATTAATTGAAAATGATTGAGAATTGAGATTCATAGTTTTAGGTGAAAATCTATCGAGCCGTTTTCTTGTAATTAACTGTTAAAAAAAATTAAGTCGATTTTTATGGAACTTTTTTTGCCCATATATATTATGGTCTTACTGAAATAATACGGCCTTACGACAAGTACATAGTTTAATTTTAAAAATTCATCAAAATTTGAGGAAATGAGTAGTTTTTTTGACGTTTGTTCAAATTAATATTGAACAATTTACTTGGTATAACAATAGAGTACTTGGTCATAATGAATATACTAAACCATTGAAGTCTTACGGAAACTGGTTTAATTATAAAAATTATTTATTTTTGAATTTAATAAAATACTCCGAGTTAACGTGTTCGTTCGTTTTCAATTATGTGTAATAAATCCACTTGGAATACTTTTAATCACTCATAAATTAATTTATTTTTTATTGATTAAGTCCATTATTCAAACATATCGGGAAGTTCATGTAACTTGGCTCAAGGCAATATACCAATACGAACTAGTGTTCGAGGTAATGGTGGTAGAATTTTAAACCCGCTCCAACCTACATGAAATTGTAATCAAAATCTAATTCTCAATCTTAATATAAAATTATTTAATTTGGCCAATAATATCAATAATACAAAACTGTTATTCACGTGCCCGACGCAATGATAGACATTTTAGAAGAAACGGACAAACGGTCGGACTGACGTTCGTGTTCCGTTTGAATCCACCGGGTCCGGGA